GCTCAGAAGGCCAGAGACCTCCTGACTGAACCCCCCCTCCGCCTTCCCCCTTGGGCGCGCCGCCAAGTCGCGAAAACATAAGCAAACTCGTTGGTTCTGATCTCGACGAAGGGGCTAACCAGCATGGTTTGCTATTGACCTGAAGTCGTAAAACGATGGAGGGCCGTGCGATTGCGAACTTGCGACATCTGCAACCTGCTGTGGAGGCCTCAGAAAGCCTGCGCGGAAGGACCACGCATGCGCCCCTGGCCCGTGGCGTGACGTTGGTCGCCTTCCACGTCTGCGCTGCTTGGCTGGGACGCCTGTGGGGTGGCGCCCGTTCGCCACCGGCTGTGCTGGCAGCCCTGGAGGCGCCGAGGCTGGCGCTTGCCCCCGCCTCGCCGGAGCGTGGCTGCCCGGCGGCGGCGCCGCCCATCGCGCAGGTCGAGGACCTCTGCGCGGCCGTCGCTCGGTGCTCGCCTGCGCCAGCCCTTCCCTCCTGGGACATCTGCCCTGACCCCTGCCCGGCCCCCATCAGGCAGGTCGATTGTTTTGGGGCGGCGAGCTGTGCTTCGGGCTGCTGGCGCTGCTTGTCTGGGAAGCAGGGCAGAGGCGCGCCGGCGTCAGCCGCGGAGAGCAAGCCGCCTGGGATCAGCCGCTGTTCCCCGCGGTCGACAGCCAGGCGGTGCCGACTGAGGCGAGCATGCTCCAGGCACGGCGCGGGAGCGTGGCCGATGTCGCGCGGATCTCGGGCGATTCAGCTGGGAGGTCCTATGCGAAGCGGTGCGCTCGTGAAGGCCCATCTTTGCCATTCAATGCTGGGGCCGTTGGGCGAGCGGGCAGGTGCTGGAATGCGTGGAAGGGGCATGCGTCGAGCTCGCCGGCACGGGGGCGGCGCACGAGGCCGACGAGCCGAGCGCCTCAGCGGCTTGGGATGCCCGCGTGGTTGTAGCAGCGGCAGAACGCGCAAAGGTGGCGCAGGCCCTGGGGGAACAGGCTCGACACCTGGGGGGCACACTATCAGGAGCTCAGCGTGGAGGTCGCCCTCGAGCCAGAAAATGTGCTGACGGAGCGTGAGGGGCGACCCCGCTTGCGCACCAGGGTTTTCACGCACGCGTGCGGCTGGCGCTTCGCGGGCAGGGGCTCCCGCCTGCCCTCGGCCAGGCAAGCAGATGAGTGCTCGGCAGACAGTGCAAGCGTTGCGCCAACTTGGAGAGGCCTTCTGCGGCAGAGCCGGGAGCAGAGCAGGGAACGGCGCAAGCCCCCCTGCGGCATTGCAAACAAGTGTTGGCATCTTCCACTTCCTCGCCGCTGGAAGGGTGGCCATGGGGGGTCTCAAGCGGGGAGGCAGGCAGGCACGTGCCTCCGACCGCTCCAGTGGTGGGAGGCTCCAGGAAGTGCAGCCCCGCCCGAGCCGAGCCCCTAGAATTAGGTCGGGCCTGTCCCCTCACAGTGGGATTTTCGAGGAAAATTAAAAAATACCCCAAACATAAACCAAACTCTGGGAACTATTGTTTGACCTTGTTGGTGCATTTTCAGGTCAGAGTGAGGGGGCCGAACGGTCATTCACTGTCCCTGGGTGCGTGGCTGAAGTGGAATCTCGCGGTGCGAATTCGTGTTGTTGTTGTTTGTTGTTGTTTGTTGTTGTTGTTGGTGTTGTTGGTGTTGTTGGTGTTGGTGTTGGTGTTGGTGTTGGTGCTGTTGTTGTTGTTGTTGTTGTTGTTGTTGTGGTTGTGGTTGTTGTTGTTGTTGTTGCTGTTGTTGTTGTTGTTGGTGTTGTTGTTGTGGTTGTTGTGGTTGTTGTGGTTGTTGTTGTTGTTGTTGTTGTGGTTGTTGTTGTTGTTGTTGTTGTTGTTGCTGATGTTGTTGTTGTTGTTGTTGTGGTTGTTGTGGTTGTTGTTGTTGTTGTTGTGGTTGTTGTGGTTGTTGTTGTTGTTGTTGTTGTTGTTGTTGTTGTTGTTGTTGTTGTTGTTGTTGTTGTTTGTTGTCGTCGTCCCACCCGCGACCCGCCCCGCGACCTACTCGCGACCCAACCCGCGACCCACCCCGCGACCCACCCGCGACCCACCCGCGACCCACCCGCGACCCACCTCGCGACCCACCCCGCGACCCACCCAGCGACCCACCCCGCGACCCACCCGCGACCCACCCCGCGACCCGCCCGCGGCCCACCCCGCGACCCACCCGCGACCCACCCGCGACCCACCCCGCGACCCACCCGCGACCCACCTTCGACCCAAACCACGTTTAAAGTAGAAACCACCATTTTCGGCGCCTGTGGCGGGCTTTTTTTGCATTCCTTCCAGGTGGAGAGCCCGCGACCCACCCCGTGACCAACTTGCGACCAACCCGCGACCCAAACCATGTTCAGGGTACAAACCACATTTTTCGGCGCCTGCGGCGAACATCTTTTGCAGTCGTTTCAAGTGGAAAGCCCGCGGCCCACCCGCGACCACGTTCAGGGTACAAACCAATTTTTTGGCGCTTGCGGCGGGCATCTTTTGAATTCGTTCCCGGTGGAGAACCCGCGGCCCACCCGCGACCCAAACGACGTTCAGTGTACAAACCCATTTTTTTTGGCGCCGGCGGCGGGCTGCTTTTGCATTCCTTCCAGGTGGGGGTGGAGAGCCCGCGACCCACCCGCGGCCCAAACCACACGCACTGAACAAACCAATGCCGCACAAGCGCGGCGGCGGATTTTTGCATGCCGTCTGAGCCCGCAAGGACCTCTTCAAGCCCCGCGCATCCACACCAGCCCGTCCAGCAACTTTGCCCTGGCGAGTTGCCTTGATCAGAGAAGTCGGGGAGCATAAAGTGGAAAAAAGGATTGCGTTGCCGTTATCTTGGGAAAGGAGGGGGAGGCAGGAGGAGTAAACAGGGGACGAGGAGGACGCGGAAGAAGAGAGGATGTAAGGAGAATGTGGAGAAAGAGGAGGAGGAGCAGGAGGACGAGGAGGGGGAGGAGGGGGAGGAGGGGGAGGAGGACGAGGAGGGGAGGAGGGGGAGGATGATGATGATGGACGACAATGGGAGGACGATGATGGAGGCCGATGAGGGGGAGGACGACAATGGGAGGACGATGATGAAAGGACGAGGGGGGGAGAGGGAGGACGAGGAAGAAGAGGAGGAGGAGGAGGAGGACGAGGTGGAGGAGGAGGATGACGATGACGATGAGGACGAGGAGAGGAGAGGAGGAGAGGAGGAGGAGGAGGAGGAGGAGGAGGAGGAGGAGGAGAGCGCCATCGACAGGGAAGGTGGGGGCCACGAGGTCCGCCGGCTCGACGACGCCCGCGTCGCCCGCGCCCGCCCCCTCACTCTTATCCGCAAATGCGGGGTGCTATATCATTTTTTATTTTTCGTCCAAAATCCCCCTGTAGGGGGGCACGCCCGACTTAACCCTAGTAGGGGGGGGGCGCTCGGGTTTCAGAACCCGCTCTCCCTGGCGGACGCCAGGCTTCCCTACCCAACCACACCTCGGGAGATGCGGCCGGGCCGCCCGGGGAGCAGTGGAGGCAGGAACGACCGAGCGTCGCAGCTCCCCTTGGCTGCAGGGGCGCTGGCAAAGGCCATGAAAACATGTGGGATGCGCTTTCAATTAATCGTTTGGCTGATTGTTCATTTGAGGTTCTGGGGCAAGAAGCCGCATACGCCCTAGGCGGCATTGCAACAGATGCAGATATCCTCTATGTCCTCGCCTCTGGAAGGGTGGTTGGGGGGACTGAAGCGGGGAGGTAGGCGTGTGCCCACAGGGTCAGGGTGAGAGAGGGATTTAAGGTAAAAGAGTGGAAGAAGGCGGAGGAGAGAAGATGTAGGAAAGCTGGGAGAGGTGGGCCCTGGGGGCTGCCAACTGCAGCACGCATAATGGATGCAGTCTGTTTGCTATTGGTGGTATTGCCCTGCGACGCTGCGATTCTGCATACTTAAGCGGCAGCGCCGACCAAGGAAACTCATGCGGACCTGGGATCACGCATGTTCATGCATCCCTGTCGCATTCACTGTTCAACTTCTCGTGCCCGCCTTTCCGCCGCGGACGCTCTCGATCCCCTCCCCGAGGCTACACAGACGGGGAAGGCATTTGGCCTTCTCCAACACGCGTTATCGAGTCGACGCCGACGACATGTGTCTTGGCAGCTTCTATTTACTCTCAGACAAAGCGTGTCTGGGCACATCATGTATCCAGACCTGCAGCATCGAGGAAAGATCGAGATTTTTGCGCTTCACTTTGTTCGGCGTCTAGGGCCTGCTGTTGGGCTATCCAGGACGAAACACCGGCCCCAGGGACCCAGGGAAGGGCTCGGGCCGTCAGGGGATCACGTATTGAAGCAGAACAAGGCGTCCGAGGTGTAGTGCGAGGTGTAGTGCAGGCTGCTTGTCGGACGACGGTCTCTGAGGACCCCCAGCCGCTTGTCGGAAGACGGTCTCTGAGGACCCCAAATCCCTGACAATTTTGAGATCCTTGCTACTTCAGCAGTCGAAGGGTCTCCTTTTTCCTTGTTTTTTTTGGATGGGTCTCGTGATGTTTTCCCGCAGCTGCGCCTCGCTGAGAGCTTTCTGGGGGGTTCTGGATCGTCCCCAACGGCCGCTGGAGACCCGAGCTGCGAGCCGAAAGCCAAGCCCCCTCGCGTTGTGAACTAATCACGACGGGAGATTGTCGCTATCATTTCGGCCCCCGGGGGCCCTCGATGGGATGAAACACCAGTCCCAGGGAAGGAATTCAGACCTCTGGGGAGCCACACTGTGAGAATCGGGGGCGGAGGGGAGTGATGACCAGAGAGAGGGGGGACATCATGGCGTGGGCCATGATGTTTCCTCTGAAAGTCATGGCGCCTCTTCTTCTTTCACTACGTCCCTGGCGCCCCCCCTTGGGCCGCGCACGCGCCGCTGGCCCTGAGTTGCGCCCCGGCCCTTCCTGGCCGCGCCCCCCCCTCTCCTTGGCCGCCCCCGAGAAGGGCCGCGGCGTCGGATGCCTGCGACCCCCGCGGACGGCGAACCCCGGCCGCTCTCGGCCTTGCGGCCGCCGCAGCCGCCGGCTCCGACAGGGCCCGGCGTGCTCCGGGCCGCGGCTGCGGCCGCGGCCGCGCGCCCCGCCGGGGCGCGGGGGGCAGGTCGGAGGGGCCCAGGGGAGCCACTCGGGCTCGAGAGTCGGTGCCCATTACCAGCTTGAAACATATCCCTCTCCCTGTGGTTGGCATCGCCTCACCTCGAGTCATGCCGATCTCAAGGATTCCCTTTGTTTCTGAGCGCACGTCCATCTGATTGTCCTCGCTATTTGCTCGCCAATCTTAGGGATAGGGGATATGGATAACCCCAGACTCGGCGGCGAGCGAGGGGGGAAATGAGATGGAGAGGGCCTTCTCAGAAGGCGGCGACACTTCTCAGAAACCCTCGCGCCTTCTGAGAATGTGTTCTGTCTTCGGGGAAGGCTTAGAAAACTTACGGCGGAAGTGTTTGTTCCTTTTTTGCCTCCGCGGGGCCCCGCCGGGACCCGGCACCGTCAACAAAAACTACTCAGGATGAGAATGTCTCGGGGAAGGGCCCAGGGGGTCGACGCCCGCTTGAGGGTGGGTCATCAGGGAAGGGGAACTCATTTCCTCGGGAAATTCTCGAAGGGGGGATATCGCCGATTCCAAGTCAACGCCCCCTCCCTCCCAGCCAGACCCCCTCCGCTCGCAAGAACCAGCAAAAACAAATGGTCACCTCGCCGATCCTGACCAGGCCGATCTGGGGCCCGGGATGGGGCCTCTGCAGGATCGGCGAGGTGGACCAGCTGACGGCCCCCCCCCTCCCTCCCAGGGCCTGAGGGTGCACGCCAGACCCCAGGCATCGAGTGCCCTGTGGTGTTTTTCGACATCTTTGCGGCGGCCTCCCGGGAGGCCCGCGGGGTCATACGGCCAGGCGCAGCCGAGGGGTTGGCCGGGATGGGCGGTCGGGAGGGCCCTTGGGTTATGATGGCGGAGCCCCTGCTAAGGGGCTCACACGAAGGAAAGTCAGGAATAGGTGGAAAGTAGGTTGGAAATAAGTTTGCGTGGATCGTTGAAAATAACACTGGGGGCGCTCGCACCATCCGCTGACAGTAAGTGTTGGGGCCCTGGCGCGACGGAACGATGCCGCAAAGTAAGTCTGTCGGTCGCAATCGTCTCGAGATTCGGCCTCGCTGCGCTGTTGCTCTAACCGCCGTTGCCGCGTCGGCCCTTTCGCTTGCCACGCTCGCGTTCCTCATTAGCATTGGCGTGCCCGTGCCTTCTGAAATCTGGCATTGGCTCTTTATCAAAGCGCCGCAAGTAAACGGAGCCACCATTTCCCAACCGCGGTACGCAGCAATAGAAGCCAACGTTCATTGATGTATGCCTTATGCCCCTTTCTGCGGGGTTTGGGGGGGCGCTCGAAACTAGCAGTTCAATTGCGCGAGAGAAGTTTCGACGCGACGAAAACATGAGGGTTTAAGGGACGTGGGCGGCGGGGTGCGCAAATCGAACTGCAGCATCTTCAAAGTGGGAGGAGGGGCGGACAGAGCTGGGAGTCGGGAGGGAGAGATGGCCTCGGGTTGAGGAGTTGAGGAGGGGTGGTCAGTGAACGCGGAGGAGGGGATAAGCGTGGAAGAAGAGGGGGGGGAACCCCAAAATATTGAGGTGCAACGCCACGCGTCCCGATCGAATCCGAGGGCCGAGCGAAACCGCGTTTCGCCCGACAACTTTCCTTATGTTGTCGGGCAGTGGTTCGTCGACAAAAAGTAGTTTGCAGCCCCAGCTTGTTCCGTCTCGAAACCCCGCCTTGCCGTGAAACCCGACTCGTTCGCCATGGTGAAACTTTGCGCCACGCCGAAGACGGCCCCTCTCCCCAGGAATGCCCATCCCCCCAGGTACGCCACGTTCCGTATTGTTGTCGCTTGTCGCATCCCCACCAGCCCATCCAGAAACGATGTTTATGGGGATTTGAAGTAATTAATCAGGGAAGCGTGGGAGCATGCCAAGAACAAGAGGGCGAAAGACGCGACGAGGAGGAATATGAGGAGGTGCGGGATAAGAGGAGAGGGGGAGCAAGTGGAGGAGCATGAGGAAGAGTAGGAAACGGATGAGGAACAGGATGGCGAGGAGGAAAATGATGATGAGGAGGAGGAGGGGGAGGAGAGGGGGAGAAAAGCAGGAGAAGGAGGAGGAGTGGATAGGATAATGCTGCGGTGAAGGACGGGGTCGGAAAGAGGAGGGAGGAGGGAGGAGGGGCATGCTGGCACTGGGGGAGGAGACGAAGGAGGAACGAGAAAAGGATGAGAGGGCTGACAGGGCCGTATTCTTCTCGAAGTGTATTGGGATGTTTCTTGTGGGGTCATCTGAGGACCCTTGGGGTGTCTGATGGGCATCTTGGCGGTCTCTGGGGACGGCCTCGGAGAGGCGCGCGCGAGCAGGTTGCGCCCGCCCGCCTGCTCGCGGGGCCTAAGAGGAGGGTCCAAGACGTCTCTTGGAACCATCTCGGGGAGCATATAATAAAGAAGAGGGGTCCTACATCCCATCCCCCTGGGGGCAGCGATCCGCGTGAGAGGTGCCAGATTTTAAAATACCCAGGGGGGCGATCTTGAACCCTCTTACCGCTTGCCGCCCTTCCCCTCCGTCCAGGTCCAGGGGAAGGGCAGGGGGAGGGGTAAACCCCTGCCCGAAGGGCAAGAATGGAGCTGGAAGAGAAACGCATTTAGACATCCTACGCCATACAGGGCTGGTGGGATTTCCTGCGACAGCGTCTGGCAGCGGCGGGCGCACTGATGACCCCCGCCCCCCAAAGCAAGCAACCCAAGGCCACGTTGCGCAACCATTATCCTAGGGGCGCCCCCCCTCGCCCGAAACCGCCTCTGCCCGCCTCCCTGCAACCATTTTGGCTCGAATCGTTCGACTGCGGGAAGCACAGGCTTCCATGTTTTTTCGAGAGGATGCGCTTGTTAGCGCTAGTTATGTCATGGGCCGCCGTGGCGGCAAAGCCGACTGATCCAGGGACATCCGATGAAGTCGTTGTGCCTGGCGATCCGTGGGCTGCGGTGGCAGCCCAATCGAGCCTCGCTGCTGAGCCGAGAGATCAGGGCCCCGCACGCGCGGAGGGTGCGCTGCTGGCTTCGCTGGAGGAGGCCCTTGCAGCACCGCAGCGGGATGCCAGGCCATCTGTTCGGCGAGGCCGCCCACCATCGTGGGCAACGCGGGTAGCGATGGAGTTGGACGACAATGCGAATGTTCCCTCGGACCAGCCTGTTATTGTTCTCGAGCGCAGTATCGTTCAGCGGGTGCTTGTTACGCAAGCCATCACCGTGACGAGTTGGGACAAGCGCCTGCCAGTGTCTCGGCACGCGCTGTCGCCGCCCAACGATTTGTTGTCATACCTCGGTGAATGTGCTATCATCGGGGCGGCCCCAGGGGCGCCGCACCACCAGATAATGTTGGACGTGGTGAAGCACTGGGGTGAGACTTCCAGCGGGCTCGTGCTGAATTGGTCCCAGCTCGAGAAGAACACTGGCCGCGCCCGGTCGTCGCTGAAGAGTGCGCTCCATCGATTCGCAGAGGCGTTCTTCCTGAGCCAGATTATGTTGCGAGAGCGGCTTGAGCGATCTCTGGTAGAGTTCCTCGGTGCAGCGGGGTGCTTGCTTTATGTGGACTGCAGCCGTTACGACGAGACCCCGATGAAGACGACGCTGAGAGGTGATACTGCAGGTGGGCGTTCAGACGACGTGCACCTCTCAGCGATTGTCAGTGCGCAGTTCGGTCAAGCACTGCGCATCGCGACAGTGCTCGCCAATCACGAGAAGAGCGCTGCCATGGTCACGAAGCTGATGCAGATTAACCTGTCGGCGTGGCTGCTCGTGAACATCGGGGGCGTGCCAGTTCGCTTGTACATGAACACGCCGTGCCCTCTCCAGCCCATGGAGTCGACTGCGGCGCCAGTCAGCAAGACGGCGGTCTTGCGGAGTTGTACGGTGTCTAAGCACAGCGAGGAGTTTAAGCATAAGATGCGTTTCTGTTGTTCTGACGCCGCGGCCACGAATGTCGTGGCTGAGAAGAGTATCGCGTCTGACCGAGCTGGATGGGAATCGTTGCATTTATTTTGCGAGGTGCACGTGACGGCAGGCATCCACAGCAAGACATTCGAGAGTCTCATGCCGCGCACAATCTCCTCTGTGATCAACGCGTCTTTGTCGTTGCAGCTGAGTAGCCACTTGAACCATTCCCGACGGTGTCTCAGGTACGTGATCAAGTCTAGGGTCAAAGTTGTGCCAGAAGGTTTGTCGGAGGATGCCGTTCACTACAAGAGATCGATCATGAAGATGTTCTTCAGCACGGGCCCTGACCAGGAGGTGAAGAGAGTCGTGGCAGCTTGTTTGCCGCGCGGCGACTGGCGGAACACGAAGCACGTGGAGGTGTGCTTGACAGGCGTGGCGGCTGCCGACATCGACATGGTCGCAGTTGCAAGTATCATCGAGAATGGCCTCAGCTTCGCCCTCCTGAGTGCGAAGCCGACGGTGTGGCCGAGGCATCGATGGACAGGGTCAGAGATCGCCGTTGACTTTTGGGGGCGGCTCGAGGCAGTGCACGGGCTTGCTTCTGCGACGTATCCTTTGTTTTGTCGAACTCTTGGCAAGGACTTCGAGGGCGAGCCCCGCGGAGATGTGGGAGTTGACGGCGCCGCCGGCGTTCTTGCTCTGGAGGGCGGCGACGCTGGCGGAGGGGGGGCCTGCCTGAGGAGGGCGGAGGAGTTGGCCCTTCCGACGCGGACCCAGTTCACGCGCAGGCAGCTGCCCACGTCGACGGCAACCAGGCGTCATCTGAGGACAATCTCGCAGCTAAGAACGCCAAGAACAGGCAGATGACGCTCAAGTGGCTTGCAGCGGATCCTCTGCCAGACCTCATGTTGTTGAGGTGCGCCCTCAACCCCATTGTGCGCATGCTCCGCGAGCAGCTGGACATGGCGGGCTTGCGGTGGGAGTTGAGTCAGAGAGCAGCCGTGGCAAGGTCGCTGGAGATGGGAGGTTTGCCTGGGCTGGGCGCCAGGGACTACAGGGCCCTTTGTGCGCGCGAGCAGGTCTTGGAGAAAGACTTCTTCAAGGGGCTCAATGCGATGTGGCTTGGGGAACACCA